AGAATCAAAAGAATGTAACTCCCACGGGTTGAGATAAGAACAGTCCAGTAACTAAGGTATAACATAAACCTACTACTGCTACCATCAATAATAATAATAAAAAGGGAAATAACAAGGGGAGAGAATATGCAACTAAAAGGAGAAAGAAAAATAAAAGCAATAACAAATAGTGACTCACAATACAATTTCTCACCACCCACTGACCTATATCCAGCCTGACCTGAGCAGCTATCTGGGCCTTCCATGTAACTCCCCCTGGTTTATACACTGGGCATGATGTGCTGGGTATAGGATACCTCTTTGGTAAGTTTGGGTCAGGTGTCCTGTCTCTGCTTCCTCCTGGCTTCTTGTACCCTTCCTCACTGGCAGAGCATGAGAGACTGAAAAGCCCTCGATCAGAGTAAACACCACTTAGCAACAACTAAAACACTGGTGTGCTATCAGCATTATTTTCAGAGAAAAGTTGAAAACACAGCACCGTACCAGCTACTAAAAAGAAAAATAACTATTACAGCTAAACCCAGGACAATAATTCATTTGCATCTTATAATTTTACACAGTTATTTTGTAGTTCAGTGCTTTCTGTCTTTATCTGCTCAATCTAGCAATATGTATGACTGATATAACACTGAACTGTGAGCATTCATATTTAAATTGCCTTGTTAATGGTTGAAACATCTGGCATAACATTTTTTACAAGAAAGTTAAGGTGGAAATTACTTTTACATTTGTTGGAACTATCTTCCACCTTGTTTAGTCAGTTTGTGATTTAGATTAGGCTAAAAGGTCCATATTTTGTGAAGAAGCATTAAACTGCGCATTTCAGAATGAAGTAAATCAGTCTAGACATATGCTTAGAGAAAAATAAAATAGAGATGTAAGCTACATTATGCTGCTTAAGACAACCTAGAAGAGACTGCTTGGTCACAGTGCCCTTCTCTTACCACTTATTAGGGAACTGATGGCAAATCGTAAATTCAGCCAGGGTCACAAAATCTCTATGCCACAAACTGCAAACCACCTTTGACACACTTTGTGGTAGAAAATACTGAAAGAGACAAATTTCGTTGCCTTACAGAACAGAGTAGATTTTAGTTAGCTGTGATAGAAGAAACCTCATTAAACGATGTTCTTACAGCAGCACTAAGGCTGAGTGTATTAGATAAGAAACCATCTTGTATTCTGCAATCCTCAAACATCTAATTTTGATTACAAACAACATATTTCTGAGGTGGGTTTTTTTTCTGGTTGTTGTTTTTTTACATGTGTGAGCATTCTCACAAAAAAAAAGAGAAAAACTTCCCTGCTTATAGATCATTTTGCCCATGCTGAGGGTCTGTCCTGGGTTCAGCAGTACCAGTCATGTTTTTTCCTTTGTGGTAGCTGGCGCAGTGCTGTGTTTTGACTTCCAGCCTGAGAAAAGTGTTGGTGAAGCCGATTTTTTCAGTTGTTGCTAAGTGATGTTTACCCTGACCAAGGACTTTGTGAGGCTCATGCTCTGCCAGGGAGGAGGGGAAGCTGTGAGGAAGCAGAGATGGGGCACCTGACCCGGGCTAGCCAAGGAGGTATTCCATACCACAGCACGTCATGCCCGGGGTGGGGGGTAACTGGGAGTTACCCGGAAGAACACGGGCTTCTGGGTGGGACTCGTTTCTTGGCCGGTGGTATCGTATTCTCTTCCCTTGTTATTTTCCCTTATCATTGTTGTAGTTGATAGTTGCGGTGGTGATTTGTGTACATTGGTTGCTGGACTGTTCTTGTCTCAACCCGTGGGAGTTGCACTCTCTTGATCCTCCTCCCCGTTCCTCCGGGAGTGGGGAAGCGGAGAGCCCCGGTGGGGGGGCGACACGGACCTTGATTGTTGTCAGCTCGGCACCACTTACTGGGAGTGAGTGAACAAGTTACCTGACTGGGTTTAAACCATGACAGTTCTTTTTGGCGCCCAACATGGAGCACGAGGGGTTGAGATAAGAACAGATCTGACTGGATTGATAGTCACTCGTCGCAATGCTGATTTATTGGCTCTCAAGGTTGTTCCTCTTGATCTCACAGTTTCAGTATATCATATCTTACGTCCATCCGGTATTTGCTGTATTAGTGTTTTTCAAGTGTGGGGCTTGGGCTAAGGTTTTTGTCCCATTGTACTTTATGGTAATGACTTGTAATACAATAGAATCATTGATCATGAAACTGATCTGGCTTATGTTCCCAGTGTGGTCACCACCTTTATACTTTGGGAGGTATATGATGGAGGTGCTTAGCAATTACACATCTTTTTTCTCCTTCTCAGGTGCTCAACCTGTGAAGGAGACATCCTTTTACCCTCCCAGTCGTCCCCCCAGACCATTTACATTTGAGAGTTTTGAATTTTTTGAATGGCCTTTTAATGCTGTTGAGACTTGTTTGCTGATGGTGATGGGAATCACCATGCTAACACGCATACAGAGTGTGTTTTGCCCAGTACTGATTTCAAGAGTTAAGCAGAGTCAGGTTTGGATACTTACTGGGGACAAACAAGAGACTGCCATTAACATCGGTATCATGTTTGCATTTGTTTGATGGCTATGTTACAGATTTACAAATTATAGAAGTCGCTAGAATAAAATTGCTCCAGAACAGAAATGTATTTTGTAAAAATAATATGGCATTCCAGAATTTAAATGTTAACTTGGTTCTCAGTCACTGGTACGTGGATAAAAGGGACTGTTGGGTTCTTCCTAAGAAAAAGTCATATTATCATAGAGAGAAAAAGTCCCTCAGCCTTTGGAGGCGGCTCTTGGCAGCTGTGAAAGAAAGGTTTCCGTACAAGGACGATGTTACGAGTCGTTCGGCCAAGTGGACTACTATAGACAAAGGCATCCAGTCTCTGAGGGAATCGGCCATCGTAGAGATGATCTATCACATCAAGCCGAATAACGGGGATACACCTATAGATCCAGATGAAGTTGAATGTACACGACCCATGTGGCGAAAACTTACACGGAATGCACCGTCATCATATGCCCATTCATTGGCAACAGTGACCTGGAATGACATAGCACCACTAACAGTGGATGAAATGGTTCATAAACTCCGAGAGTTCGAAGACAATCTCACCCCTTCCATCATCTCAGCTGTGAAAAAACTGTCCCAGGACCTCGAACAGTTGAGGGACGATCTATCTGATTTATCCAGCTCCTCACGTGTACCAACACACGTCTCAGCTATTAACAAAAGGCGTCCTATTGTTCAAGAGAGGAGATACAGGAGGTATACGCCACAGGGTACCCTATGGTTTTACCTGCTGGATCACGGAGAAGACATGGCAAAGTGGGATGGAAAACCTACTTCAGCTTTGGAGGAACGGGTGAGTGAACTGAAGAGGGGAGCAAGGGCCAAGACTGATCGTCCCATGAGAGCTACGGCTTCAGTCTCTGGTGATCAGTTTCCCAGATGGAATGGAAGAGCTGATTTTACTTCAGCTCCTGTGATAATGAAGAATAATCCCTTTCACCACGACTTAAGTGTCCAAAGCTGTGACGACCATTAGAGGGACCCTGCCTCCAGCCAGGTGGAGGTAGGGGACAATCGAATTTACTGGACTGCGTGGATCAGATGGCCTGGCACATCAGTCCCACAGAAGTATAAGGCTCTAGTAGATACCGGTGCACAGTGTACCCTGATGCCATCAAGCTGTCAAGGGGTGGAACCCATCTATATTTCTGGAGTAACAGGAGGATCCCAAGAGTTGACTGTGCTGGAGGCTGAAATCAGCCTGACTGGGAGGGAATGGCAAAAGCACCCTATTGTGACTGGTCCAGAGGCTCCATGCATCCTCGGCATAGACTACCTCAAGAGAGGGTACTTCAAAGACCCAAAAGGGTACCGGTGGGCTTTTGGTATTGCTGCTTTGGAGACTGAGGAAATTGAGCAGCTGCCCACCTTGCCTGGTCTCTCAGAAGATCCCTCTGCTGTGGGGTTGCTGAAAGTCAAAGAACAACAAGTGCCAATTGCAACCACAACAGTGCACCGGCGGCAATATCGCACCAACTGAGACTCCCTGATTCCCATCCATCAGCTGATCTGTAGACTGGAGAGTCAGGGGGTGATCAGCAGGACCCGCTCACCCTTCAATAGCCCCATATGGCCAGTGCGAAAGTCTAATGGAGAATGGAGACTAACAGTAGACTATCGTGGCCTGAATGAAGTCACACCACCATTGAGTGCTGCCATACCGGACATGCTAGAACTTCAGTATGAACTAGAGTCAAAGGCAGCCAAGTGGTATGCCACGATTCATATTGCCAATGCATTTTTCTCAATTCCTTTGGCAGCAGAGTGCAGGCCACAGTTTGCTTTTACTTGGAGAGGTGTCCAGTTCACTTGGAACCGACTGCCCCAGGGGTGGAAACACAGCCTTACCATTTGCCACGGACTGATCCAGACTGCACTGGAACAGGGGCAAGCTCCAGAACACCTGCAATACATTGATGACATTATTGTGTGGGGCGATACAACAGAAGAAGTCTTTGAGAAAGGGAGGAAAATAATCCAAATCCTGCTGAAAGCTGGTTTTGCCATAAAACGGAGTAAGGTCAAGGGACCTGCACAGGAGATTCAATTTTTGGGAATAAAATGGCAAGATGGACGTAGACAGATCCCCACAGATGTGATCAACAAGATAACAGCAATGTCTCCACCAACTAATAAGAAAGAAACGCAAGCTTTCTTGGGTGCAGTGGGGTTCTGGAGAATGCACATCCCAAATTACAGTTCGATTGTAAGCCCTCTCTATCATGTGACCCGGAAGAAGAATGATTTTAAATGGGGCCCTGAGCAGCAACAAGCCTTTGCGCAAATTAAACACGAGACAGTTCATGCAGTAGCCCTTGGACCGGTCCGGACCGGGCCAGATGTAAAAAATGTGCTGTACACTGCAGCTGGGGAGAACGGTCCTACCTGGAGCCTCTTCCAGAAAGCTCCAGGGGAGACTTGAGGTCGACCCCTCAGCTTTTGGATATAAAGGATCTGAGGCCAGCTATACCCCAACTGAGAAAGAGATACTGGCAGCCTGTGAAGGGGTTCGAGCTGCTTCGGAAGTGATTGGCACTGAAGCACAGCTCCTCCTGGCACCCCGGTTGCCCGTGCTGGGCTGGATGTTCAAAGGCAGGGTCTCCTCTACACATCATGCAACTGATGCTACATGGAGTAAATGGGCTGCACTAATTACACAACGAACTCAAATAGGAAATCCCAGTCGTCCAGGCATTCTAGAAGTCATCATGGACTGGCCAGAGGGCAAAGATTTTGGAATGTCACCAAAGGAGGAGGTGGTGCGCGCTGAAGGGGCCCCACCATATAATAAACTGTCAGAAAGTGAAAAGCAGTATGCCTTGTTTACTGATGGCTCTTGCCGTATTGTGGGAAAGCATCGGAGATGGAAGGCAGCTGTATGGAGTCCTGGACGACAAGTTGCAGAAACTGCTGAAGGAGAGGGTGAATCAAGTCAGTTTGCCGAGGTGAAAGCCATCCAGCTGGCCCTGGACATTGCTGAAAGAGAAAAGTGGCCAGTACTTTATCTCTATACTGACTCATGGATAGTGGCAAATGCCCCGTGGGGGTGGTTGAAGCAATGGAAGCAGAGCAACTGGCAACGCAGAGGCACCACTCACTGGGAGTGAGTGAACAAGTAACCTGACTGGGTTTAAACCACGACAGGGTCTCGGAACTTCTGTCAGACACTGCATCACTATTCAGTGATTTCCAGCCATTTACTTCTGCACAGGACAGTGCTTCCTCACACCCACTGAGCTTTCATGGCATATGACTGTCTTAGAAATGACGGGAATCTTCGGACTTACCCAGAAGTAACTTGTTTGGAACTGTTGTCCAATGACAGGAATTCAGGGGAAAGTTGAGACTCTCACTATGAGTTTGAAGACAGAAAGCAAAGCTGAGACAGAGTGGATATTGGAAGCAGAGACTATGGGCTCGAGACTAAAGAATAATGCAGTAGAAAGATACTGGATATACAATCTTTTGATTTAAGAAAAATCTAAATAATTAAGTACTAATTATTATTATTAACTGGTCAAGGAGGCTTTAAACTAGATGTGTTGGGGGAGGGGGGCATCATTCCATCCCAACACACCCAGTCAGTTGCCAGAACCTATAATAAATGCCTGGAGCAATGTAGAGATATCCCAGCTGCTCCAGCCAATGAGCCGGCTTCAGCTGGAGCTCGGCTCAGATGCCTCTATACAAATGCCTGTAGCATGAGGAACAAACAAGAGGAATTAGAGATGTGTGCACGTCTATGGGGGTATGATATAATAGGCATCGCAGAAACATGGTGGGATGGCTCCTGAGACTGGAGTGTTGGAATGGAAGGTTACAGGCTTTTTAGAAAAGATAGGCCTGGCAGGCAGGGAGGGGGAGTTGCCCTTTATGTTAGGGAGAGGCTGGAGAGTATGGAACTCTGTCTGGGGACAGGTGAGCAGTCCACAGAGAGTTTGTGGGTCAGGGTTAAAGGGAATATAGCTATGGGAGACATTACTGTGGGGATCTGTGACAGACCACCTGAGCAAGGAGAACCTGTGGATGAAGCACTCCATAGACAGATAGGAAAAGCCTCACGCTCACAGACCCTTGTTCTCATGGGTGACTTCAACCACCCTGACATTTGTTGGAAGGATGGTACAGCCTGGCACAAGCAATCCAGGAGGTTCCTCGATTGTGTACAAGACAACTTCCTTCTGCAAGTAATAGAGGAGCCGACAAGGAGAGATGCTGTGTTTGACCTCATTCTCACCAACAGGGAAGGGCTCATTGGAAATGTGACTCTCCAGGGCAGCCTTGGATGCAGCGATCATGAGATGCTCGAATTTGAGATCTTCAGGACAGTGAGAAGAGCATGCAGCAAGCTCACTGACCTGGACTTCAAAAGAGCAGAATTTGGCCTCTTCAGGAACCTGCTTTGGAAGGTTCCATAGGATACAGCCTTGAGGGCAGAGGGGCCCAAGACTGTTGGTTGATATTCAAGGATCACCTGCTGCAAGCTCAAGAGTGTTGCATCCCAACCAGAAGGAAGTGCAGCAGGAGGGCCAGGAGACCTCCTTGGATGGATAAGGAGCTCCTGAGGAAAATTCAATTGAAAAAAGAGGCTTATAAAAAGTGGAAGCAAGGACAGGCGGCATGGGAAGAGTACAGGGATGTTGTCCGAGAAGCTAGGGACCAAGTTAGGAAAGCTAAGGCTCAGTTAGAATTAAACTTAGCTAGAGATATTAAAGATAACAGGAAAGGATTCTACAGGTACATAGCAAATAAAAAACAGACTAGGGAGAATGTAGGCCCCCTCAGGAAGCTATAGGGAGAACTGGCTACACAGGATTTGGAGAAGGCTGAGGTTCTGAAAGACTTCTTTGCTTCAGTCTTCACTGCAAAAGGCTCTGACGGCACCACCCAAGTCTTGGAAGGCAGATGCAGGGACTGTGAGAATAAAGACCTTGCCCCCACTGTAGGAGAGGATCTGGTTCGAGACCGTCTTAAAAATCTGAACATGCGCAAGTCCATGGGTCCTGATGAGATCCATCCGCGGGTCCTGAAGGAGCTGGCGAATGAAGTTGCGAAGCCGCTGGCCATCATATTTGAGAAATCATGGCAGTCAGGTGAAGCTCCCGATGACTGGAAAAAGGGAAATATAACCCCCATTTTCAAGAAGGAGAAAATGGAGGACCCGGGGAATTACAGACCAGTCAGTCTCACCTCTGTGCCTGGCAAAATCTTGGAGCAGATTCTCCTGGAAGGCATGCTAAGGCACATGAAAATCAACAAGTTGCTTGGTGACAGTTGGCATGGCTTCACTAAGGGAAAATCCTGCCTGACCAATTTGGTGGCCTTCTATGATGGGGCTACAGAACTGATGGACAGGGGTAGAAGAGTTGATGTCATCTACCTGGACTTGTGTAAAGCATTCAACACTGTCCCACACGACATCCTTGTCTCTTAATTGGAGCGACATCAATTTGATGGATGGACCACTCGGTGGATAAAGAACTGGCTGGATGGCCGCACACAAAGAGTTGTGGTCAATGGCTCAATGTCCAGCTGGAGACCAGTAATGAGTGGTGTCCCTCAGGGAGTGGTGTTGGGACCGGTCTTGTTTAACATCTTCGTCGTTGACATGGACAGTGGGATTGAGTGTGCCCTCAGCAAGTTTGCTGATGACACCAAGCTGTGTGGTTCGGTTGATATGCTGAAGGGAAGGAATGCCATCCAGAGGGACCTTGACACACTTGTGAGGTGGGCTGATGCCAACCTCATGAAGTTTAACCATGCCAAGTGCAAGGTCCTACACCTGGGTCGGAGCAATCCCAGGCACAGCTACAGGTTGGGCAGAGAAGAGATTCAGAGCAGCCCTGCGGAGAAGGACTTGGGGGTGCTGGTCGATGAGAAAATGAACATGAGCCCGCAGTGTGCGCTTGCAGCCCAGAAAGCCAACCGTATCCTGGGCTGCATCAAAAGGAGCGTGACCAGCAGATTGAAGGAGGTGATCCTGGACCCTCTACTCTGCTCTTGTGAGACCTCACTTGGAGTATTGTGTGCAGTTCTGGTGTCCTCAACATAAAAAGGACATGGAAGTGTTGGAACAAGTCCAGAGGAGGGCCATGAGGATGATCAGGGGACTGGAGCACCTCCTGTATGAAGACAGGCTGAGGAAGTTGGGGCTGTTGAGCCTGGAGAAGAGAAGGCTGCGTGGAGACCTCATAGGAGCCTTCCAGTATCTGAAGGGGGGCTATAGGGATGCTGGGGAGGGACTCTTCATTAGGGACTGTAGTGATAGGACAAGGGGTAATGGGTTAAAACTTCAACAGGGGAAGTTTAGATTGGATATAAGGAAGAAGTTCTTTCCTGTTAGGGTGGTGAGGCACTGGAATAGGTTGCCCAGGGAGGTTGTGAATGCTCCATCCCTGGCAGTGTTCAAGGCCAGGTTGGACGAGGCCTTGGGTGATATGATTTAGCGTAAGGTGTCCCTGCCCACGGCAGTGGGGTTGGAACTAGATGATCTTAAGGTCCTTTCCAACCCTAACGATTCTATGATTCTATGATTTACACTCTTCTACACTTAGGTATATAAAATATATGGCAACCAACTCTCCAGACAGATCTATTGGATTGAATAAGTCAGCTTGGAAGGTCCAGAATTTAGGAGTTCCACTTCTAGGTTTATCCAATAGAAAAAAAGCATGAAACTTCAGCATGTGTTCTGAGTGGCTGCATTAGGTACCTACAGTTAAGTGGCATAAATATTTCTCCCACGACATTTCTCTTTTTTATGCTTCATTGTTGTAAAAAGTTTTGTTATTAATTCTGTAGATAATCTTAGATTTTTTTTTTAAATAATCCATTAGCATAGTAACAACTTCCCACACAGTACGACTGTGACTGTGGAGGAGAGGAGAGATGTGGTCTCCTGGTGGTGATCAAGACACACAAAAACAGGGGAAGTGAGGAAGCTCAAGTTAGCCTTATGTTGCACCACCTTGAACCATTTTATTTAATTTGGATTTCTTAAAATTGCATTTAGAAAAACAAAACTGCAGAATTTGAGCAGCAGTTTTCACAGTTTAGAATTCTGAGAGCATTTTGTTCTTCATGCCTAAAACCATTTACCTTTAATTACAGGCTCACTCTTGTAAAAGTTGAGGGTGATTATTCAGCAGTTTAATTGTAGACAAGCTCCAAAAAGACTACTTAAAAGAATAACAGTACAACAAAAATCAAACTCACTCTGACATTTGCCATCCATCCCAAACATGGGATGAAAATCAATTGGCTTGGATGGACTGTGCAAAACATGATTTATCTGGATTTGTTATGAACTACTTTTGGCAACTTTGATAAGTTCACAATTAAAGGTGTTAGTGCCTATTCATATTCTTGCACTGCCCACATGATTCACAGTTTTAAAGATTAAACAAGCCTTAAACATCTTAAGGCTTTACCAGGGAAAATAATTATCATGACCAAACTGAAATTTATTCTAATGATTTATGTATGGCTTATGTATCAGTTCATTCCTACTTAAATCTTAAAAATAATACATGTAGAAAACAGTGACGTATCTTCCACTTTGCTGGTTACTCTGTCATTTGCATTCCCAATGCTCTATTATTTATTATTTAAAGATCAAACTGATTTCTGATACCTTTGAACAATCAAAAGACAGAAGAAGACAAAATTCTGCTCCTGGAAATCCCTGTGACAGACTGCCGCTGGGTAAATGTACTAATGAGTAAGTGTAGCAAATTCAGAGGAACAATTGCATTTAAAT